ATTTTGTTTAGTCATAAACCATTTAACCCTCATTTTTTTTAAATGCATGTCGTTTTATACAGACGATAACATTGATAATGAATATTGAAACATTTTTCCAGTATTCATAGAAATACGAGTCGGTCTTTCAATCACTAAGTTTTAATATGGTACATTTCAATTATGTCATATGATACCATATTTATTTCATCGCCCTGGTGTTAAAAATCGTTATCATCCAACTGGACTATCGTGCGCTGGCGCTTCAGTCACTCCAGAGTGCGCCGAAGACAGACGGGACGCGCGCACACCGCCAGTGTTTACGTAAAACGCTCATCGAAATTGAATCCTAAGTACTTTAATTTCAAGATGAAGTTTGGCAACAATGACAATTTAAGGGCTATTGTGGAGGTTGATGACATACAATCTACGGCTGATTTAGCAACAGCTTTCGACGTTAGCGTCAAAACAATATTGGTACATTTGCGTCAAATTGGTAAGGTAAAAAAGCTTGATAAGTGGGTGTCCCACAAACTAAATGATCAACAGAGCTAAGTATGCATCGAGCAGTGCGAGGGGGACTGGGATGCCGTCTCCTCCTTTTGCGAAGCAGTTATGCTAGCTTATGGCTCCTCGCAACCCAGCCATCGCGAAGGACACACCTGGCGTCGGGGATTGTTGGACGATCTCCAGTAACCGTAAGCGCGGGCCTGCGGACGGTGAGCATGGGTGGCTCCCCGTCCGACCAGAAACAGACGCGAGCGTACGGGGCGTCGCGTTCTGCGCGCGCCTCAAAGAGCCATCAGACCACCACAGATGGGGCCCAACAGGGTCGATGCCGATTCGGAGTCGCGGAGAACCTAACGGGTAACCGGGGCTTCGGTTCGACGTGCAGGAGAAGAAACGGGGTGATTTTTAGTCAGTAAGAGTCTGACACTCTTTCCCGCCTCACCCAGTCATTCGATGATTTTCCACCCTTAAAAAAAAATGCATCGAGTAGTGCCTTGCACTGCATTGCTCAATATACACACAAATGAAAGAATTTTGATTTGCATTGTCACCTCCGATGAAAAAAGAAATCTGTGTGTTTAGCATGTTGGTTGAATCCTAGTTCAGCACATAAACAATGCCCTAAACGAAAACTTACCCCTAGAAAAGTAATGGTCACTGATGGTCTAGCGCTCGCGCTATTCTGATTCATCACAAATTCTTACCAAACGGAGTAAGCATTACTACGGATGTGTAGTGTGAAGAACTGAACACAATGATGGAGAAGCTGACACATCTCCAACCAGCATTGGTCAATCGCTAATCTCCATTGCTCCTGCATTACAACGCGCGACCTAAAGCTGCACAAGAGACGGCCTCCACGTTACAAGAACTGGGGTTGTGAAGCTCTCCGACATCCACCCTACTCACCAGTCACCAGACTATTTCTTTTTCCAGAATTTAGATAACTTCTTGGCGGGAAAAAATTTAATAACCGAGAGGCAGTACAAAATGCATTTGAAGAATTTGTTGCTACCCGTCCAGCTGATTAAAGAAGGGCATCAATAAACTGCCACTGCGTTGGCAACGATGCATTGATTGCATTTGGTGATTACGTTGATTATACAAATAAAAAATACATGAAAAAATAGTTTAAATTTTTTCATACAAAACGGCAATTTCAGTAAATGACCCATTAATTTAATTAATTTTGCTGAAATATAATCGATATTCCTATTGAAACTGTAATTATTACTCTAAATAAATACTTTGATATTGTGTTGTGTTTATTTATTCAATGTAAGCATCTAAGATTTTCGGTGATTGCGATATATCCAGGTTGTTTTATCAGCCATTAATCGCCTTAGATGTAAATAAACATAAACATTAAACGTTATAATTTCAATGTTATTTGTCACATAAGTAAATTAGCCTGTCACACATTTTAGTCTGAATTGGTAGTTAAGATAAATAGCTTGCTTCTATTAATTTTGGGTGTCGTCACTTCATATTTTTTAGCTTATTCTGTAAATAGAGTGCATTGTCGCTTAATTTTTTTCCCTTGTAGCCAATTGTAGTTTTGAACTCACTTAAATCATTTTTCCTGACTCTAAAAAAGGGCAGATTGTATTAAGCGACATTTATCTTTGTAATTAAAGGTCCGATTTATTTAGAATTAGCATCAGCAACTAGATAATTTAATTTAAATTTCAATGCAATTTACCCCGTTCAAATAACTGCAGAAGCATTTTAGTTACGAATTTTTTTTCGAAATTTCAAACTTTAAAAGGCTCTCCTGTAAAGTTGCAAAAATGTCGCTTAAACCAAATAGCCCGTTACCCCTCGATATTATGTCACAAGACGTAGTAAAGATAAAATTTACACTCAACATTTGTCCAGTTTTATTAAGCGAATCCGTTCACTTTTGATGCGCACTCTAATTTATGAAAACAATAAAATACCTAAGTAACGATACGATTTAAAAATACAAATTCATCAGTTCTATTGTCTACGATTTCTACGTAACCGGTGTAGTAACACCAAGCATGTATCGCTGAAACAAAGTCGATAAGTAATAAAAATATCTTTGTAAATTAGCACTTTATAGGGGTTTACAAACTTCTGAGAAAAATATCCAATTGATTTTGCAGTGGCTTTCCGTCATCGTAAAATATGATAAAGTTATCAATAAAATGCATAGGATGCACGTGTGCACATGATATTCAATTACTCGACAGATTAAGATCTTGCTCATAGATTAAAATCAAGTGCTCATCTAAATACGGTCATAATTAATAGTTATCTAAGCGCATCTTACTTTGCCTCCTAATAGTTAACCTACGCAGTCTCCATCACCGGTGTGTGTGGGACATCTATTATGCGCTGATTATTCCGAAGGTCGATCCTATCCCGGTATAGCAGGCATCCCACGTGGCAATTAATACCAAATAAGTAATTTATCAAATCGACGATGAAAGGAGACCGGCCTTGTCGCCGAAAATTGTCTTTAAAGAGTGTGGAGTTGGGTTGATGTTAGCCGAATTGAGTAACTTTAATAAATATTTATGTACTACTAATACCTCAGCTGTTTTTAGTTAAGAGCTGTTAGGTCCAACTCTTGTCCATTCCTCTGCATGATACGAGTGAATATATTTTTTACCAAATTGCGTACTGGTTAACGCAATTTGATGAAACTCCGTGGTAGTCTAAAATTGAACTGAGAATTTTACGTGCTTGTTCACTCACCCAACAACTAGATAGACTTAGACATTTTTTCCAAATCAATAAAACGGTGTACAGTCGATATGAATGTGATAATGAATGAATATCATCAATTGATCCCAATTAAAAGGTCAAGTGTTAGTGTTAATTAGAGATAACTGCCGTTTGCATCGATAGGTGTTTATATGAATAGGTATGGGTAGACATGTTAATATTATAGTACTTAGAAGAAGTAGGAAGGTAATACAAGCACTGTAATAATATTATTTTACATTAGCCTTGAATTTTCAACAACTAACTGTAATATCGAAATATCTGGTGACTTCATACGAGATTGTAGCGTAACAAATGGATATTAAAATATAATTTTATGGAAATGATCTCTATAACTTGATTATTTATTAATAATGCCCACCCAGTTACTTGATTGAAAATTGTTTAGCAATGAATTCATAGTTTGGCACAGTTGATAATGATATCACCTATCTAGCCGCGGCCGCGGTAAGGTATTAATGATATGAGTAAGATCAGAGTGATCTTGTCAATGAACAGATTCGATTTCTAAGTAACTGGATGAAGCTTTTCATTCCTTATTGACTATGACATCACCGGTCGTCTTGGATGTAGGAGCTGTGGAGTCAGACGCTGCAGTCAGTCCATGACGGTACTTTAGAACAACTAGACGTTTGTTCAAATAATTATCAACTCTCGATCTCGAACGAAACTCGCGTTTGTCGTATCTTTAACGAAACTTGTGTTTGCTAGCTCATGTAGTGCTTAGTGCTATTGTAATGTTTTACGTTTATGTGATCGCAAAATAATGGATTTCTTTAGAAATTTGTGGCGGCGATATTTTCAGCGGACGGAAAGACATATTATTGTTCATGTCCCTTTCCAACCAGGTATTTATTTTATTTGGTAGTTTTAAATGAAAGAGCTAATTATTTCGTTCTGTTTTGTAAATTATTTAAGTAACCACAATTAAAAACATTCAAATATTCATAACCAGGTAATATTTATCTGCATAAAGTTATGTTATGCACGATCATATAAAAAATATTAGGTACCATTTATAAATAAGGCATTATTTACAAAACTACGTTAAGTGTATAATGTGTAATCTTAAGATTGACATCTTGGCTGGAAGCCAATAGTGAGGCGCGAAAATTTTTGACCATGACGAATAATGGCTCGTAATATTTTCATTCATTAGTAGTTTATGTTTACTGTTCTAGTATTTATGACATAATAAACTATCTACTACTTGGTGGGCATCTGAGATACTGCTGTCCAGAAGTAACTGAAAAAAATCTAGGAGCTCAATGATCGCATTCGGCCAAGACTTATTATGCAAACAATTCCTTGAGATTTTGATTTATTTAATTTTAGCTTTTATATAATTCATAGAGATGACATCAGAATCTTGACTTCTGAACTTAAGATTTCTTAATTATTAACTTGATTGACCAAGAACACTAACGTAGGTATATACATATGGTAGAGCAAGTCTGTAGTACGGTCATATGGTATATGAAAATAAATTACATACTTAATAAATGAATATTGTGTTTACAAGTAGAGAGCCCGATTAGGCAGTTAACGAGAAAAGTAAACTTTCCAATTATGAAATATTTTGTCTGAGCTAAAGCTTTGTGTTCTAAGTATTCGATGCAAACAAACAATCAAATAGTTTGCTGTTTACAATATTAAAATACTTAGTACAGTACAGTACTTTATAATATTAAAATACTTAGTACAGTAGATGTATCTGTCTACATAATAATAATTTACTCATCTGTTTATTTATTCAGATGTCGCCGACGCAACGCGGCAGGGCGTGCTTGCGGTGCAGGGAATTGATTTCTGCATCGACACAAATGGAGAGAACCATCATACGAACAAGTTTAACCTGATGACAAGGAGCGTCGACAGGTGCTTGGTGGTGCGACGCGGACAGGCCTTCAAACTGGATATATTACTGAGCAGGCCTTACGATGCCAGTAAAGACGCTGTCTCCTTTATTTTTTATGTTGCAGGTATGTGTTGCGATAAATCTTATGGTACTTTAACGGTGTCTTTATAATCATCGTGCTTTGGATTGTTACATAAGAGTCGTATATTGCAGTCCGAATATATGAAAATCAACAAATGGACAACATTTTATAGGCTCTGTACAAAATGTTTGTTTCGGATAGGAATCGAATCTGTGAAAACTAAAGAACAATACAAAATTTTTTTCGATTAACTCAAGCTTAGCATAAATCTTCAAGTCCCGCGTACCAAGCCAAGCCAGAAGTTTCCCACATTTTTTACGAGCCCAACAAATCTGTTTAAGTAGATAAGCTGTCTTTTTCTGTTCATGACCCTGACAAAGCAAAAAAGGATTTGATAGTTAGCTTAGTTCTATACATTGTTAGTATACATAGATACTGCAAGCAATACGCCACGTTCAAGGTTGCGTTTTAAATTGTTATGGAGGCTATAAATCTTGTGAATTACACATGACATTACGTAAACTTACTCCATCCTAGTCCCAGTGGACGACGCATCTCACAAAATGAGGTCATCATGTCAAGACACAATTTAATTTTTTTTTATACAGACGTAGAATCACGAGGACCGTCAGATGAGACTTCTGCTGCTGTACCATTATTGGAGAAAGGTTCGGAGACCTTCGGAGCATGGACTGCGACTTACGAGGGACAGATTGACTCTCATCTCATGGTAGCTGTGACTCCTGCAGCTGACTGCATTGTCGCCTCCTGGAGGCTCGACGTAGATACGAGACTCAGTGAAGGCAGTTCTCTCAGTTACAGACATCCGTTACCAATCTACGTCCTCTTCAATCCTTGGTGCTTAACCGACAGTGTATATATGCCAGGTTAGTGATCAATTAAAATAACTCATAAATGTTAATGGACATCGAATTTATTCGAAAGATCTGCCTAGTGTCCAATTAATGAATATCGAAAAAAATAAAACGGGATGTTGGCGAAATTTTCCAGGTCATAGCCATCGTGATGAATTCGTATTAGAAGATGGAGGATTGATGTATAGGGGAGTCTACAACCGTATCAAACCCTCACCCTGGAACTATGCTCAGTACGAGAAAGATATATTAGACTGTGCGCTTTATCTAGTCAGAGAAATTGGAAAGGTAAAGAATTGTATTTATATTTTTACTTATTTATCTACTTAGGAACTAGCATTAGCCTTTGGCTTTATATGTGAGTGAAACGGATTAAGTCATATATGAAATAAAAAGTGTATTTTTGAAATTAAACAACCTATTATTGAATTGTATCTTTCAGGTCAAAGGTCGTGCAAGAAGTGACCCGATTAGAACATGTAGAGCACTATCAGCTGCCATTAATGCCCAAGATGACAACGGTGTTATTATTGGCAACTGGGCGGCAGACCTGGCAGACTACAGTGGAGGCACTCATCCTTTGAAGTGGCTCGGCTCATTAAACATTCTACAAAGCTATTACGAAAAGAAAAAGCCTGTAAAATATGGACAATGTTGGGTGTACGCTGGTGTACTGACGACAAGTAAGTGTGATCAAAATCATTGAAGGTTTGGTCTTATTGTGGTTTTAAAAATGTTGTGAGATAATATGGAAAAAACCGCAGATAGTGAAATCTCGGGTAAAGGCAAATAATTTGGGATAGCGATATGACAAAATGTGCATAATTACAGTAAGATTAAAATGGCTATATGAAAAAGGATTCTAATTAATTAAAATGTTTGTTTACAGTTTGCCGAGCTCTAGGTATTCCTTGCAGACCTGTTTCGGGTTTCAATGCTGCTCATGACAGTCAAGGAAGCCTTACCATTGATGTCATTATGGATGACCAAGGAAAGCAACTCGAAGAATTCACCACAGACTCTGTGTGGAACTATCACGTTTGGAATGAGGTACCAGGAACACTACGCTAGTTGTTGTTAGAAGAAATTCCAATATTCTCATTATCAGCTTTATGTCTCGGCTAAGTAAATTTGGTCGATATCGAGTTTTTGCCTCATTTGACTGACTGTTAGTTAGTATTTTACATGGAGCGACTGCTATCAACCCTTCACAATACTTCACATTTCTAGATTAAATGCAGTTTTCGTTTACTTCATGTTACTTTTAGTTGCGATTCGTGCATATTGCACGGTCGAGATTTTTACGATGCATCGAACCGATTCTTACGGTTTGTTCGAACATATTGCGTCTTAAAATAGTACATAAGTATGCGTTTGCGTCCTACGCAAAATCCAATCGATTGATGAATCATTTAGTGAATGATATAAATAGCTAACCCAGATTGCCTTAGAAGCTATAACATCTTATCTTTATTTATTTTATAGTTTAACTTTTCACCGCTGGGCTTTTTATTTTATGTAATATCTCTGGCAACGTGCAGATATAAAGAATATCCTTTTTTTGTAGGTGTGGATGGAGCGTCCAGACCTGGGACCAGAGTATGGTGGCTGGCAGGCACTAGACTCGACACCACAAGAAGAATCTGAAGACATGTACCGTTGCGGTCCATCATCACTAAGAGCAGTTCGCGATGGAGAGCTACAGAGACCTTATGATACTGCTTACGTTTTCGCTGAAGTCAATGCTGACAGGGTACTTACACCAAAACTACTTAAATTGAGTGTGAAAGCTAACTTTTACATGTTATCAGTCCTATGTAATATGGGGGTGAACTTATTTACTCACAAAAGAGTTTCATACATTGGACTAAGAGATGGAATTTTCTACTTTCAGGTACTATGGAAATACTCTGGAGAGATCCAGCCACTAAAGTTAATGCAACGAGACACCGAATCCATTGGGCAAAACATTTCAACGAAAGCTGTTGGAAAGATGGAACGCGAGGTATGTTTGTTAAAAGTTATTGAAAAGTGCAAAAATAAGTAATAATCTACTCTTAGGTAAAGTTTCCTTTAAAGAGTAGCATTAATGCCAAACAAATGTCGTGGTGGCCTGGATGTTTAAGACGTCCGTTTCTCATGCATGAGGGTGCGGGATCGAAACCTGCCAACGGCAAGTACTCATGTGTCTTTTTCCGAGTTATATGTACTTTCTACGATTTTTAGACACTACTGACAAACGGTGAAGGAAAACATCGTTAGGAAACCTGGGCTTATAATTTCCAAGTATAAGTTTGTAATCACCAACCCGCATTGAGCAAGCGTGGTGATTAATGCTCATACCTTCTCATTCACACAGCATTTATAGGTTGTTCATGAGAATCCAAACAAAATGTTTATTAACTTATTAACATTCCAGGACATCACAAACACGTATAAATATCCAGAACGTAGCCGCGAAGAACGTATGACAATGGAGAAGGCTCTGCGCAAGTCTGAGAGCATCTTCGCGAGGTACTACCTCAACGATGCTTTCAATGACGTCACCTTCGACTTCGATCTTCAGGACGACATTAAGATTGGACAGGACTTCAATGTGGTAAGTTTCGAATTGCTGCATAGGTAAAACCTAACATCACATAAATTCATTCCCAGACTTACTGGATTAGTGTAGAACGTCATAGAAAGTTTTTTAAATATTGCATGAATGTACGAAGAACAGAGAATATGGTAGAGGAGTTTTAACTATAAGTTAGGTTTCAAATTATTAGAAAAGCTGGCAAACTGTTGCATCACATTCAGCTATAATCGCTACACCACATGTCTTTTGAAAGAGAAAAGAACAAAAGTATCTTTACAATCTTAATGTTGACTAATTGTAAACATGTGTAGAATCTATTAGGCATGCGTAAATTATTTTTATTTTTAATTTCAGGTCTTACACATCAGAAATCGTTCGAGTTCGGAATCACATCAAGTTAAGGGTATCCTTCGTGTAGACACAGTAACGTATAGAGGAAATACAGGCGATGGAGTGAAAAGGTCAGAGTTTGATTTTAACCTCAAACCCGAAAGCAAAGAAGTCATCAAGATGCTGGTCACTTTCGATGATTATTACAAGAAGCTGGTTGATCAGGTAATTGATTTGCAGAGAAAATCATCGAAGTATACATTTTTCATATAACAATTTTAGGACAATGTTCAAATTTTTACGTTACGAACTTTTTATTTGTTTATCTTCTAGGCGTCCTTCAACATTGCTTGCTTAGCGACAATCGTGGACACAAAATTCGACTACTTTGCACAAGATGACTTCAGAGTTCGCAACCCTGACATCAAAATCAGTATTGATGGAAAACCAGTGTCGCATCAAGAGTTTACTGTCAACGTTAAAGTGGAGAATTCACTGCCTATTCCACTTACTAAGGGCAAGTTTTATATCCAAGGGCCCGGGCTTGATGAACAACTGAAGATTGAGCTAAAAGAGGTAAGGATAAAAGAATCACTAAAACAATACCCTTCCTACAGTCGACTACAAACTGTAGGTCAAACCGATAAAAGTGTATATACAAATGTATTAAAAATATGAAATTATAAATCAATGTAAAGAAGTTCAAGAGTTTCTTAAAGTGATACTACTAGCGCCATCTACATTACTATTGTCAAACTACCATGAGTTACAATGGCGCTGTCGGGTGTACCGCAAGGTTTGGTTTGGATTTGTGTGAAGGTTACTCACGTTTGTAATTTAATATTTTCCCAGAATGTGGCGCCAGGATCGTTTGCGACTGCTCAGTTCAAGTTGACGCCACCGTGGGCAGGTCGCCACCAGATTTCTGCCAAGTTTACATCGAAGGAAATGAAGGACATTGATGGATTTTTGTCCTTGATGGTAGCAATGCCTGCCGCTACAACTAACGGCCTGGCGCGTGAATAAATTGAGAGTCATCAAATCTTTGTTAGAATTAGGTAGCGAAATAGGAAAATATGATAACAATAATTACTGTAAAGTATTTCTTTATATGTCAAGTCCTAGACTGAATTTTACGTCTTTGGAATTTGTTTTAATTTAAATCTGTCATCCTGAACTCTATCAAGGTATAATTTATTTATTTTTCACAAAGTCTTAGCTTTAAGTAGGTATCTATTGTGTAAGTATTACATTAAACATTTGTTTTTTTAAGAAGACGTGTATTTAAAATTTTTATATTAATTTTCTTTGTCATCATTATTTTTAGTATACTATAAATTGTCTCAATAATGTTATTTAAAATATTAATTTTTGTTAAGTGTGAGATGTCAAATATACTTTTATGTAGTTAAGGTAAAAAGTCTTATATGTTATTAATATTGTATTTTATACCAGTACAACTAAACTACGTAACAATAGGGTATTTAAAGGACCTCTTGAAGTGTCTATTATTACAATACAATACTAAGTTTTATATAAGTGTAATGAAACTGTTGACTACCCTAATTGGTGCTGTAATATATTTTTATATGACCTAATTAAAATAAACCAATCAATCATACCAAACCAGCGTGTTTCATTTAGGCGATATTTTCGCAAAGTTTGCAAATCAGTAGGCATAACTTAAATCAGATCAGGTACTTCTGGATTGTCAATAAAATCCGCTGATGGTTGCTTTTCACCGACTCTAAGTCTTGGATCGATGTAATCAGGTTTTGCTTTAGGTTGAGTCATTTTCGAAAAGTCTAAAACATTTTCTGCAGGACCAATTTCTAGATATTCTCGTTTTGTTTGCCCAAGTTGATTATTACAGTCTTTTGCTTTGTGTTCACAATACAACTGTGTTTTATTATCATCTTCGTATTTCGGATTAGCTGGTTTCTTAACAATAGCATTACATTTCGGCATCGTTACAAGCAAGTGACCAGTAATCTGTGATCTGTGCGCTGTAGAGTTGGTTGTGTCGACCTCTGCCGGTAGATGGAGTTGAAATATTTTATTCTTTATCATAACTCTAACATAGTTGGGCTGGACATCAACATCCACAAGATTTGTGTCCATGTGTTTATACACTGCTAAGTCCAAAACATACTTTTCAGGATCATCATCAGTAAAGACAAAGTCTATTTTTGCTTGGTTAATGTTGTATGGTCTTCCATCTGGAGCGAAAAACTTGTATACACGTTTATCTTCTTGTTTTTTCTCTGGTTCATAACTTTTCCGTTTCAGCTGGCGCATTTTCTCTATCTCATAACGCACTTCGGGAGCATGCTCACATTTTTCTGCCCAAAACTTCTCGTTTCGTTTTTCTGGATCCATATCTTTGTATTCATTTTCCCACTTGTCTTGAATGTCTTGTTCCAGGCGAGACTTTTGCTTTCTTCTTTGATGTCTGTAGTTCTCTTGTTCAAAAAGTATGTCTGACCTTATAATTGGAAGATTTTGCAAAGCCTTGATTCGGTCAGATCTATCAATCTCGCAGCCATCAAGAAGGTTGAGTTGGGGTAAAGTACCAATTACAAAATCTCGATAATTTTCGTAATCAGTGCAAGGATTTCCCGTGAGGTATAAATTAGTAAGATTGTAGTTACCCGTCAGACTCTCTACGCTTATAATTTCGCCTATGAAATTGAGGGTGAGATCTAATTTCTCTAAAGATTCACACCTTTCTAAGTTTTCAATGACTTCTATATTGTTCAGCGCCAAGTTTAGGTAGACAAGATTTTTCAATTTGTTAAGGTTTTCAATTTTAGCGATGAGATTGCTTTGCATTAATAATATTTTCAGTTTCGGGCACCAGTCTTGGAGGTATTCTATTTTTTCAATGTTTTCTTGATGTAATGCGATCTCTTCTAACGGTGCAAGTAGGCAATCATGATGTTCAGCCTTTCTGCGTACCATTTCTACACTGATTCGCACCATATTTGATGTTATAGAATATTTTGTAAAATTATAATGATCGAATATTACCGCACGTTTATAAACTCAATGATGTAACGCTTCATGACAACCGTTGCTAAGTAACGTCAAAGAGTATACCTCTTATATGTATAGGAGTAACGTATAAATAGAACAAAATACAATTTATTACTGTATTAATAAGAATTTAAATAAAATATATATATACAACTTAAAATATAAATAACTGAGAACTAAAATATTTACACCTTAAAAAAAGTAATAATACTAAAAATGTTACCTTAAGGCATCAAAAACAAAACAAAACTTTCCTCATCGCTATCGTGAGGTAGGGTGCCCAAAAGACTGGCAACATTGTCAAGTTGAATGGCCATGCATAACCTTTGCCCAAGGTAGTAGTAAAAAAAAAATACAAATTGTGACTTGAAGTGTTTTTAATATTTTAAAAAATACCAGTCTTACTGATGAATCCATTTTACTTTCACGTTTAACGTATGAATACTTACACAGCGTGTAAAGCCTGTGTAGGAGTTACCCAGGGTTTACACAACATCGCTACTAACAAATGCAAAGACAACCTTGTGTAATTATAGACTGCTACAGACGCTGTGTACGGAAAATATGTTGGTAATTTTTTACGAAGAAAGCTTAAATTCTTCTGCTGGTGACATCGTTATATTTTTTTTTTAATTTTGCATATTACAATACTATCTTCTGTCAGCGGCTTCACCCTCGTTCCCAGGGGTAACAATTCCCAGTCCATTCAAACGTGATGTGCCTGAGTAAGAAACTTACACCCAAAGTCACATATTTTCACATTTACAATATCAGTTCACTGCCTGATAATCAATATCACTGACTGCCTCGTTGGCCAAGCGGTCGCAAGTGCGACTGCCGGGCAAGGGGTCTCGGGTTCGATTCCCGGGTCGGGCAAGGTATTACAGGGTTTTTAAATGTATTAATTATATTTTGAAAGGTATTACAGGGTTCTCAGGTTCAGGTTCAGGTTTAAAAAAAAACAAATTTAATAAAATTGTGCGGCTCAAGCCCCAGACACAAATATAAGTTTGTCGAATTGTAGGTTGCCCGCAGTGGACTTTACGCTGTAACTGTAGGGCCGATGGTTGAAATTAGCTTGAATTGATATTAACATCACGCCTTTTATCTCCGAAGGGGTAGGCGGTGGAGGTGCGCACAGAAGTAAAACCCATTTTTCACTATTTATGTTATGAGTCCCATATGAATGGGTGGCCTATTGCCATATACCGAGCACAACTCCAGACTCTGTGCTACTACTGATGATTTTAACCCAGTATTACTTTTCCGACCCGGGAATCGAACCCGAAACCCCTTGCTCGGCAGTCACACTTGCGATCACTCGGCCAACGAGGCAGGAAAAGTTGTTTTTCTGTTATCAAATTTAAAGAAAACTTTATCACAGCTCTTCTGTAGTGTCTCATGCGTGTTCAATGGGATTCATGTCGGGGGACTGAGTAAGCCAGTCCATAACCCTGATTACATATTTCGTAAGCGCAGTTGATACTAGCTCAGCCGTTTTTTTTTTTTTTTTTTTAAGGGGGGAAAATCATCGAATGACTGCTCCCGCCTGGGTGAGGCGGAAGGGAGTGTCAGACTCTTACTGACTAAAAACCACCCCGTTCCTTCTCCTGCACGTCGAGCCGGAGCCCCGGTTACCCGTTAGGTTCTCCGCGAATGGGCACAAGCATTATAGTGCATGAGTTGGAACTCCAGACCCATTTGTAGTAGTAGACTAGACGGACGTATAGTGACCAGATTGGCGATATATTAAAGAAGGGCCAAATTAAAAGTACCCTTAACCGACGAACATGCATGAAAAGATTGATGACTGTTAATGAAGCGAAAGAGGTATGTAAGAATCGTAGTAATTGGCGTTCCTTAGTCTCTGCCTATCCCCATGGGAGACAGGCGTGAAGTTATGTATGTACCCATTTGTACCATATGTGGGATAATCACAGGTTCACCACCATCTCATTGCGGTATTTCAGTGCATTCATGTTCCCTCTTATCCAATTGAGATAGGTTCGCGCCCTAATACGAATACCAGCCCATGATGTGACTGTACTACCATGCCGCCTTGAAATTAGAAGCTACTGGCAGAAGCTAGTTACTCATAAGCCTGTTGATTACGATTTTATCGATGGTAGGGCCACCGTAAGCACGGGCCTGCGGACGGCGAGCATGGGTGACTCGCCGCCCGACCAGAATCAGGCCCGAGCGTACGGCGCGTCGCGTTCCGCGCGCGCCTCAAGGAGCCATCAGACCACCACAGATGGTGCCTAACAAGGCTGATGCCGATACGGAGCCGCGGAAGACTTAACGGGTTGCCGGGGCTCCGGCTCGAAGTGCAGGAGTAGGAACGGGGTGGTTTTTAGTCAGTAAGAGTCTGACACTCCCTCCCGCCTCGCCCAGGCGGAAGAAGTAATTGGATGATTTTCCCCCCTCAAAAAAAGGCCCTATTTCGTTTTGACGAGTTTGCATTCCATAATATATTTTACAACAGTTGGCATTGGTACAAGGTACAAAAACTATTATTGGCCCTATCGGTCACAGGAAAAGTAGTTTTTTTATAGAGGAGAGGACAAAGAGCACTTTTTTTAAATCTAAGTTATTGAATACTAGAAGAAAATTACAGTTATGAGTTGACTGAGTATTCAATACATTTATATTCATTCGCCTATATTTATTATAATACTTTATACTATATACTGTATTTATTTATTAACTAGCTGTTCCCCGTGATTTCGTCCGCGTATAACAATGCCTTCTGGCAAATTTTGAATTTTTTAATTAGTCTTCTCCAGGGTTAATTGCAATGCTGTGTAACAAATTAAAAAAAAATATTGTGAAATGTTGTTTATTTTCGTGATTTCAAAAAATAAACAATCCCACGGGGATTTTACCCGTATAGTATCCATTCCCGTGAGGTTTCAGTGATTAAAACTCCATTTGAATTCCAATCAAATAGGCACAGCGGTTGTAATCAGGCGTCATTTTCCGAGTCTCAAACTATCGTTGTACCGAATTGCACTCAAATAGGTTCAGTGGTTTAAACAATAGAGAGTCCCGGGATTTTAACGCATAGTTCCTGTCCCGTGAGATTTCCTTTCCAGTACAAGTGTCTCAAACTCTCGTTGAACCGAATTTCAATCAAATAGGTTAAATGGTTAATAAAATTAGTATTCAGCCTCTTTGCATACCTTAATGTTGTTAACATGATATTAAAAAAATAAATTGATTTTTAATTAATTTTTAAAAATAAATACATTGATCCTTATCATAGATATACATAAAGTGATCCATATCCATTGGCATTAAATTCACTTATCAAAAATATGACAGATAACATAGAAAGTTAAACTTAATATTATAAATTTGTTTACGTCTGTTTGTTTTGTTAGAAATTGACGTGATTATTTCTGGTTCTCTTATTTTCTGTTTTATTAAATATAGCCTATGTTCAGCGTCGATAACGTAGGTTTCCAACGGTAACGGTAAGAATTTTTCAAATCGTACGTAGTTTCGGAGGAGATGCCATTCAAACAAACAAACAAACAAACAAAAAAATCAAATCTTTCCTCTATAAAGTCTTTATACTGTTCATCGAGATATAAGTACTAACGTACTAGTACTTATATCTCGAAACTACTATAGTATAGTATTTATTATTTATTTATTAATAATAAAGGTACATGGTATGCCTTATAATCTAACGCCATGTCCAACAAAACTATATGTAAATAGTTTGACTGTTGGATATTCTATATTTAAATTAATATTTAGTAGTATATAGATACTATTAGTGTAGATGTTAGTTACATTTATTTATCTCAATAATACCTATTTATTTATATTTATTATATTGGTTTACATTCATCATAGTTACTTATTTTCTAAGAGGTACATTATATTTTTATAAGGTACATATATTATTTTATTCAACACATTAGTAAAAAACACCTAGTTTCCCTATTATGTATGTAATGAAATTAATATAAAACGTTCGTTTTTAATTAAGTTAATGAATATTCGTTATTAATTTCCGTTTAAATTCAGTGTGTTAATTATTATTAGGGATGTTGAAAAAAAATTTACCTACTTCCCATGTGAATATACCTACGGGATTTTAATATTTCAAACAAAAGGATGTACGTCATTTGGGTATTTATCTTATCAAATTATGAATCATTAACAAATTACATACATGTTATAATATTTAACATTATGTCGTACTTTTGGAATTATTTTTTTGAGGGGGTAAAATCTAATGGCTTCTGCCGCCTTGGGTTTGGCGAAAGGGAGTATTCTGACACTCTTACTGACTAAAAACGTACCTACTCTTGCTCTTCGAGCCGAAGCCCCGACAACCCGGCTTTCCGCGGCTTTATTGGGCAACGTTATGGATCGTTATGGATCGGCTAAATGCAACGTTATAGATCTATCCCCAAAACCTTTGTAACTGTAAGAAAATTCTAAAGGAAGCCCTCCAAGACATGTCCTAAGAAGACACAGAGAAGTTATTATTAGTTCCTAAATAATAATTATAATAAGCTCCTAATCTCTTATTTGAATATTACATACATATTAAGCATAGAATTTAAGTATTACCTACTTTATATCAATATTCCTAATTATAACTAAATATTGTCATAATTTACCTTAACATAAGTTAGCATTTAAGTAATTATGATTATATAACAATTAAATATTATTTTTACCTAACCTCGCCTGAAACACAGGATATCCTAGTTTAGGCACCTTATACTGTGAATTTTAATTAGCTTTAGGCAAAATATACAGAAACTTCTAGATTATTATTATGTTTGAAAATATATTTATAAAAAATATACAATTTACAATGATGAAGAAGCTTGCACATCTCCAACTAGCATTGGGCAATCGCTCGTGGCCGCTGCTAATGCACGACAACGTGCGACCTCATGCTGCACAGTAGACGGTCTCCAAGTTGCAGGAACTGGGGTTGGAAGCTCTCCGTCATCCACCCAACTCACTAGACCT